GTGGAATGGAACCTCATTCAGAAAATCTTTAATGGCCTTAAGATTTTAAAGTAGAGCAGTCCTGAGGAAACTTGCAATGAATTCTCATTTCACTTCATTCCACCTCATTTTCCTCCTCTCCCAGTTGGTACATAGTAAGGTTAAAATTTTGTATTGTTTTGCTTTAAGTACAGATTGTTCTTCCTTTTTTAAATTTATTTTTATTTTTTTTAATATGAAATTTATTGTCCAATTTATTGTCCACAACACCTAGTGCTCATCCCAACAGGTGCCCTCCTCAGTACCCATCACCCACTCCCCCTGCCTCCCACCCCCCCATCAACCCTCAGCTTGTTCTCAGTTTGTAAGAGTCTCTTACGGTTTGGCTCTCTCCCTCTCTAACTTTTTTTTTTCCTTCCCTTCCCCCATGGTCTTCTGTCAAGTTTCTTAGGATCCACATAAGATTGTTTTTCTTTCTATATCAGCAAGCTTCTAGGGAGAAAACTCCTTGAGAGATCGCTTGTTATTTTTTGCTCAGCCCCATGTAAAGAGGCTGTACCAAAATTGTATCCTAAATCAGACTTCGGGGGGTAACTCTTCAATATCCTTCTTTCATCTCTGTGCTAACCATAGTTAGTGATAAAAATCTAGCAAGTCAGATTAGCAGGCCAGGGCCACTAGTGTGAGGAGATGTCACATTATATATATATTTTTTTATTTTTATTTTTTGACGTTTATTTTTGAGAGAGACAGAGCATGAATGGGGGAGGAGCAGAGAGGGAGGGAGACACAGAATCCAAAGCAGTCTCTAGGCTCTGAGCTGTCAGCACAGAGCGACGTAGGGCTCAAACCCATAAGCCGTGAGATCATGGCCTGACCCGAAGTCAGACACCCAACCAACTGAGCCACCCAGGCGCCCAGTCACATTGTATTTTTGATTGCTTATTTCCCATGTTCACATTTGGCTTCTCAAGAATTGAAGTGTTTCTGTATTTTGGGTTTGACTTTGCTTCTAGAACTAAAATGGTTGGCAAGTACATGGGGCATTACAGTGTCATGGAAGTTTCAGAAGGAAGGTAGTTGGCCGGGAGAATGAGGTACCAGCCCTTGATCTTCCTATTTATAATGGTGTATACATCAGCTCATTTCCATAGAACTCCAGTATTTGTTGAGCATGGCTTTTTATGAAGCATCTCTAGTGGGACTATCTTCTTCCTCTGAATCAGCCCCCTGGCTGCTCCACAGTTAACCTGACTTGAGCCAACAGAAATTTAGAGGAAATTTAACTTTGGAACCAGCAAAGGTAGATAGAACAGCCCAATATGTATAGCTTTAGATTATCCTAGTCTCCTGAAGAACCATTAGAGATATGGGCTGAAATATAAGATCCACAAGGGCAAACAACTTATCTGTTTTATACTTTGATGTATTCCTGTTCCATATATGTGGAAAAACACAGTAGTTGATAACATTTTTTGGGTGAATGAAACTTGCTCATTATTCCGACTTCGGTCACTTGTGTACTACCTTCATGATTCTTACTATTCCTATGAAATATCCATGCTATTTGCTTAGTAGTTTCTCGATTCATTAAAATTTACTTTAGTTTCATGTTAGACAATAATTCATGTGAAATTCTGGGTTGTAGCTAAACATTAAAAAAAAAAACACTAAAAAAAAAATACTGTACCACCCCAAACCATTTTGTATACCAGCAGTGGTATGTGTCTCTTATTTGAGAAGATATAGTCATACTTTATGTGTTATTATCATGACATTACTAAACTAGAAATCAGTTTTGTATTTTGCTTTGCTTCACTTCCTTTTTGGCTTTTGAATGATTATCAGAGTACAAGTTTTGCTAATCTCATGTACAGGATGATGCATGAATTAAATATCACTGTATGAAGAGGAATCACCCTATTCAACTATAGTTAGAACTCTATCTACTCGAAATTTTTTTAATCGCTAGGTATGAGAAATCTGTAATTATGGTTTTCCTCTACTTTGACCTTGACCAGCACAGGGACTTTCAGAATCTCTCTTGAGAATCCCATTTCCATTCTCTCAGTCCTAAGTGACAGTTCACATTATTCCTCTTCCACTAATTATACTGTCTGCAACTAGACAAGAGGTGGCAACTTTATTGCAACATTTACATATTTCAAATAATAAAAAGGTTACCAAACAGGTATATTTCTATTAGATGAAGAAAGAGGAAAAATAAAGCATATATGTACACTTACATATATCATTAGATACCTTGTTAAAAGTTAGCAAAGGATAGGCTCAAAAGGATAATTGAATGGATCTCAGAGACTACTTTTTTCCTGCTTAAGGCTTTCCCTACCTATTAATTAAATGAAGAATGCCTTTGAGTTTTCTAAGGGTGAATGCTGTCTCCTCTTTTCACTTATTTAAGTGAAGCCATACTACTTCATGATGTTACAGAAGAGCTATGCTTCTCTGAAGGCTTAATAATTGCTGAAATCCAACTCTTGATGGGTTTAAATAACATCCTCTTAATTTTGAAGCATTCAACCCTCAACCTCAGTTTGAAGTAGTGTTTGAATATACCGTGTCTTGATCTTTATACAGAAACCTCTGTGTGTAGTTTCCCCCAAACATGAAATCCCTGTGATTTTTTTCAATGAGATGTCTTATCCCTCAGGGGCAGATCTCATCAGTTCTGCTGACAACAGAGGTTTTGATTGCTCTAAACAGAAAATGTGTAACATCTTCATTCCTTTTCAGCACAGAACCAGGAAAAACCAGTATGTAACCACACTGCTAAATTGTAAAGAGTGAGAAAATGGAAAATACTTCTTCCTGCCCCCCCAAGCTAACCTGTGTTTTGCTAATAGTAGCCTCAAAAATGGCCATTGGTTAATTTCTACTTCCAGTCATTCAGAAGGAAGTAATGAATATATTCTTTCAAATCTTTCAATGGAAATGTTATCATCATCAGCTATTTATAAGAGCCAACTTTTTATTTTTATTAGTGTACTTTGGGCATTTTTAAACCTCCTTATTGGTTAGATTTCATAATTCATGGTAACTTGAATTACCTTAAAATTACTGTTACATCAGAAAAAAATAATTTTATGATAATATTAATGTAAACAGGTATAAGGGTTACAAAGGGGCTTCAGTAAAAAAATTTGGAGCAGACATCATCTTCAGTCATTTCAGAATCATGATTTTAAAACATTTTCTATGCTCGTTTCACTAATTCACTGAAGTAAATTTCTGTGGCTTAGTCCAATCCAATGCATGTTTTTTAAAGCAACAAAAATGCCTTTATTTTAAATGTTCTATGCTTGATATTTTCTGTTGACCTTTCTTTTATATAGCTTGAGCTACTATGCTCTAGTGTGCCCACTGTCCTAAAAATGTGTGTAAATTGCACTCTGGCCAATGAGGAAGGAATGAGAAATTATGCTTAGAATTAATTTGCCAGGTTAATTTAATCACTTTATTATTAGGTTTACATTGGGCAGATAATCAGTGCTAACATTCCCTGCCATCTCTCAAGTTCACTGAGCTCTGGGCAGTCTCATGAGATAAGAATAACAGATCAGTGCGTTTTGTGTAATGAGCGCGTATCTTCACAAGTCAGCACATTCAGAATTTTCATTCTGCTTTTTGCAAAAATGATCAGGAACCAATCTATGAAAAAGCCATCAGAACTCAGAGAGTTGAGAATTTGGCTCATCACAGTTAAATTCCTGGTGTGTCATTTTAAAGACCTTTTTGGATTTTTTTTTTTTTGCCCTGAAGACACCAGTACTATTTTACAAGCATAGTAATTGTAATTTCATCACATGGTTACTACAGATTTCTTTGAGAACTTAAATGACTTCACACAGAATTTTTTTAAGAAGTGAATTAATTTCTAGCCACAGAAAGAATATGTGGGCAAACAAAAAGTAGACAATATTTTTCAGTTTACTTTCCAAATAAAGAGTTTTAGGATACTTACTCAACATTATGGTAATCTGACATTTGAAGAAAATAACTAATGTTTAAATGCTGGGATAAGAAAAAGTGGTTGAAAACCATTTAGTGTTTAAATTCTAAGTGAGACTGAAGAAGGTAAGGACTGGCTGAACTCTTGATGGTGAGAGAATTCTTTGTAAATATATATTGCCATTCAAAATCTTGGAACGTAGTTAAAGATCAACTGACAGTGAAATTGCAAATACATGATTCTGCAAACTTTGATTTGGGATTACTTATACAAAAGGCATCAGCCATGATAAACTTTGCCTATGAAATGGTCTAAATCTCAGAGTAATTGCAGTTGTTCATAGAAAAAATATTACTCCTTAATGTCTTCTTTCATGAGGTCAGATCATGATGTTTTGGGTGATCAATATATTTCAAAGAATTAAATATAAACATTTATATAGGTGAAATTATAAAATTAAGGAAGAAAATGCTACTAACTAAATCAGATGAGAAAATCATTCTGGTGATTAGCAAATTCAATGCTGCAATGGAAACAAAACAGAATTATAGGAATTCAAAACAAGGGCTATTGCTTTGAAATGCAACTGACCTTCCGTGAATTCAGAATGAATTTCAATTATGCTTAGAAGCCTAGCTTGTCAGTTGCATTTTCCTTGCTTTCCAAATGCACAATTTATTTCAAATAACCAAATTAGGATATGGATGGTAGCTATTCAAATGTGCATATGATGTCTTTCTTAGCATAAATAAAAGAGGCCTAAACACATTGACTATTTAGAATTTTTTTTCCCATCCATCCTTTTTCTGTATCCATCATATTCGGTAACACAGCAAGTTACAAACAGCTGTTGAATTTTTTTTTTTTTTTGTAATGGGAAAGAAATATGTTGTTAAATTGTCTTCACACATAACATTCACATAATTTTCCCTTTGCTCTCATCCTTTGCTAAGCAACTAATCTAGGACAGCAAGGATTAAAATAGAGGATACTTCATTCAAAACAGCAAAAGAAAAAAGTAAAAACTAAAAAGAACATATAATCAACTCACCTGGGTAAAGCCTTCATAAATTCCACAGCTCTAAAGGAGACATAGATAAAATGCAAATATGTATTTTGAAAAGCAAGAAAATGAAGTCAAGATTTGAGTACTTCGTCTTGTTCTACTTGGGGTTTATCTGGGTTGTCTAAATCCAAAATCTGATTAGCATACTTAATCTTATGCAGTGTCAGGAATGATCTACCATCCTTTAATCAGTCTATTATTATCTGTCTTAACCATTCCCAACAGTCTGTTTATTTTCAAGTATACCTTCAGTGAACAATGAAGTACTAATGTGTGCTTTTGTGGCTTAGTAGTTTGGATAGGGGTGCTATGAAAAAAAACTATGATGTTCATGTGGTGCAAATGGAGTGGAAGAAACCCCCCACCCCCATCACAAACGAAAACTTGATCTAGTTTGACTCTATGCTGGTGGCGTTAATTATAAGGTAATTGATTTACCTTTGTGAGGTAGGTACAGGGGCAGAAGCAGTATGGTGTATGGTATGGGGTATATGGTATGGCAGAGGTTTGCTTAGGAAGATTTAAATTTGAGTCACATTTCCATATCTTATGTTGACTTTGAGGATCATTTGACTTCTCTTAGATTCAATGTGCTCATTTGTAAAACTGGGATAAATAATATAGGCCCTGATTTAGAATTTTGAAATCCTATGAAATATGTAAATGAAAACATAGTTTGGAGATAGTTTACAATCTTTAAATAAATGAGACATTTCTATTAACATAGTTGTAAAATGGTATTGCTTATAATTATTCAGATGATTCTTATGTTATTAACACCTAATAAAAATTTAGAAGGTTTTTCTTGGCTTTTTGCAAACACATAAATTACGGTATGTATAAGAGGCTGGAAGAAAGGGAAGTGATCAGAGTTGAAACTCCAGGGGTAAATTGCTATGCCAAAGAAATTGCACTGGAAAATTTGTCCAAATGGGAGTCTTTAAAAAAAAATTTTTTTTTTAATGTTTATTTTTGAGACAGACAGAGACAGAGCATGAGCAGGGGGATGGGGCAGAGACAGAGGGAGACACAGAATCCCAAGCAGGCTCCAGGTTCTGAGCTGTCAGCACAGAGTCCAACAGGGGGCTTGAATTCACCAATGGTGAGATCATGACCTGAGCCCAAGTCGGACATTTAACTAACTGAGCCACCCACGTGCTCCAAATGGGAGTCTTTTTGAGGAATTTAACAAGATCGCTTCGGCTGCAATGTGAAGAATGGATTGGGGGTGAAACCTGAAGTAAGAAGACTAATTTAAGAACCTGATGTAGAAAGCAGGTAAGTAGCCTGAATTTGGATTGGTGGCAACGGACAGACAGACATACTGATTCATGAAATACTAAGATTCAATAAGTACTTAGAAGTAGAAGCAAAGATACACTCAAGAAGTATTAAGAAGTAAAAGGGATAGGATTTGGAGATTGCCTGGCTGTGGGGTGGGGTAGGAATAAAAATGACAAAGTAAGCACAATACCCCAAAGTTCCATATTGGAAATTACAAGATTATTAAAATAGGGAAATAGAGGGGAGCCTCGTTGGCTCAGTTGGTTAAGTGGCTGACTCTTGATTCTTGCTCAGGTCAATGATCCCGGGGTCAAGCCCCGTATCAGGCTCTGTGTATCAGAGCATGGAGTCTCTCTGGTTGGGATTTTCTCTCTCCTTCTCTCTCTGCCCCTTCCCTGCTCCTTCTGCTCTTTCTAGAGGCAGGAATGTACTTGGGATAAAAGATAACTTAATTGTACACATGTACTATTTGGGAGGCACTGAGACGTCCAAGCAGGTATGTCTAGTAGACACTTGGAGATAGAAATCTGAGAATTAAGTAAGTAGTCTTGCAGAAATGTCCAGAGTAACAAGAATATAAGGCCCCACCAGAAAAATGACCAAAACTTAAGGGATTGAATGAGAAATCTGAGACTGGAAGTTCTTTTCTCAATGAAGCATTAAGAAAATTCTGTAAGATAGTCTGTTAAGTGGAAAGAGGAAAGGGTTTGGAATGAAATACTTGGGTTCAAATTTTGGCTCTCCTATTTATTAACAATGGGACTCTGAGAAAGTTAATGCTTCTTAGCCATCTGTAAAATGGGGATAATGATAGTGACATTCATTTCATAAGGTTTTTTAAGGATAAAATGAAATAATAACTGTCAACATTTAATAAAGTCCTATGTAAATAGTATTATGAGAATAAGCTAAAAAAGAGTTACATTGTCTTAGGAGTTTGTTGTAAATAGGTCCATAAGTAATTCTGAGAAATACGTGGGAGAGAATGGGCAACATAATTTTTACGAAGTTCAGAAATCTGGATTTGAATTAAAGTCACAATTTATTAGTGCTAATGTTAGATTTACTGAACAAGGAGAATATACATACTGGCTTCATGGTGTAAAACAAAACATAGCATTTTATGTAATCATCATAATGATAATGATAGAACATTATTATCATATAGACTATTATGACTTATCATAATAAAAAAAAAGGTTTATTATTCATGAAGATGTACAAAATGGCTGGGACTAAAGAAAAAGATCAGTATCTTTTCTTTTCTGCATTGAGTTTATTTTCACAAAAAGAACTCTTTTTCACTTCTCTCTTGACTGGTGAGACTTTTTGAAGATGTAGGCTTTAGGCGACGTTATCCCTGTCTCCTGGAAATACACCCTTTCTGCCTCTACAGCCATGAAAACTTTGAGGTCCACACTGATACATACACATTTTCTCTCTTCATCCTCAATAGTGTCTTCCAGAGCACACAGAATTCCTACTTGCTTACCACTCATGGCAACATTCACTCACATTGAACACCTCACTACAGAACAGAACAGATGATGGTCAGACCAAAGCAGCCCCTGAAGTTTGAGCTTGTGTACATCATTAGGGCATCTTATTTGGAGTTCCAAATCCTCCCAACTGGCAGTAGAGTACTCGAACTTGTTTCATAAACACAACAAAACCCAGCAAAAAAGCGCAAAATAACGCTTTGCAGCAAAGCCGTTGGATAAATGGCATTTTAAATTGTTTTTAGCTCCACGGATAGAGAGGACTTCAGCTCACTGCTATCTGAAAGCTGTATAAATATTTATAAAGTACTCTACTGAGGTGTTCAAAACATCACACTGCTCCAATAGACTACAATTTCGGACTGGAGTAAAGTGGACAGGATAAAAAATTAAAAAAAAATGGAAAAAATAAACCAGACTACATCATTTATCCACTTATGCTGTTCTAAAATAGGTATGAGTACTAGTTTCAATTTCTACTTCTGGGTGGAACATTTACCTTAGTAAAAATGAAACTACCTCACAAATTAAGTGTTTAGAATGTTCTTAATCCATCAGAGGTGAGACAGGGAGTTGGTCTGGTATAGTTTCCACGAGCCAAGTACTGGAAAGCCAGAACTTTTTTTTGTTCCTCATGCTAGATTTTGTCTGTCTCTTCTCAGACTAGTTAGAATGAAAAAAAGTCTCCATTAGCATAAAGTCTGCTTTTTTAACTTAAAATGTTTTAAAATTCCACACCTGCCCCGCTATTCTGTACAACATCATTATAATGGGAATTGTGAAGGGAGAAATGTCCATTTATGGCTTGTATGCTTAGCCAGAAAAGGGAAACATAGTATTCTTGAAGGAATAAAGGTAAAAGTGCTACTTCTACCAAGGAGTACAATTATATGTAGATACCCTTAAGTGAAAATAGAATGAGGAATTTGCCTGCTAGCCCAGTTAACATGTTCAAATGTTTATTTTATAGTTGAGAAAATATTTTTCCAAACAATAAAAGAATTCATATTCCTGATTACCCATTTTCCTATGCCATCTTTATTACCTGAATAACTTTCCTTTTGACCATTCTACTTCGGGCAAATAAAATGAATCATCTGAAAATCCATTGTAGATGATAACAAACTGCACTTGCTTTTACAGAAACTGTTTTGAATTCTACCTGAGTGTCCTGGAAGAAAAAGGACAAGGCGTGGTGTAGGGGAAAAAAATTTTTTTTTCTGCATTGAGTGTATTTTCACAAAAAGAACTCCTTTTCATTTCTCTCTTGACTGGTGAGACTTTTTGAAGATGTAGGCTTTAGGAGACGTTATCCCTGTCTCCTGGAAATACACCCTCTCTGCCTCTCATCCATCCCTGTGGTGTCAAAGCTCCCAAGCATTTGAACCCCTTATGGAGCAGCCTCTACCTGCACTGAAGTCAAATTCTCTCACCTTCTTTTTCCACCCATTTGCAAGTACTTCTGGTTTGCCTCAAGACCTACCTCTTTTACATTTGTAGACAGATAAACCTAATTTTGCACTTTGGAATACTTTGTCCTAGATATTTTTCTACTAGAGAGAAATAGGCCTTTAAAGTGCAACTTCTATCACTCCTACCTATTCAGCAATATGTGAACATGAATACATATATATTTATATACATGTACATATATGTATGTTCATATATATATATATATTCATATTCAGAATCTAATAGTTGGTTCTCATCCCTAATAAAATTTGCATTGGGGAGATTTTATTCTAAATAATTGATGGATTTGTTTTATAGAACATTTTCACCTGCTATTTTGCAGTATACGCATTAGCAACACAGTTCTAGAACCAACAACAAACACCTCATGGTCTTACCCTCTGTTGTTCCATTCTTTTCTGTCTTCATTCAAATCTCCAACTTGTTCTTTGAAAGAGTTACTTAAATCATTTTTCCAACTAAATGAAACATGTAGGCTTCTAATTCTTCTAGCCCTTCCAAGAACAGTAAACAGTGAAAAATACAAAATGCAAAGACTAGTAATATGAGACGAGTAATAATAGATATTAGACTAGACAAATAACTTCATATCTGAAAATAAAAAATTGACTATATATATGTATGTGTATATAAATATACATATGACCTAAAATAAAAACTGTCTTCCAAATATGGCTACTTAAAAACATTTTTTTTCAACTTTTTTTTTTATTCATTTTTTTGGGGACAGAGAGAGAGCATGAACGGGGGAGGGGCAGAGAGAGAGGGAGACACAGAATCGGAAACAGGCTCCAGGCTCTGAGCCATCAGCCCAGAGCCTGACGCGGGGCTCGAACTCACGGACCGCGAGATCGTGACCTGGCTGAAGTCGGACGCCTAACCGACTGCGCCAGCCAGGCGCCCCTAAAAACATTTTTTTAATGTTTATTTATTGAGAGAGAGAGAGCACGAGCATGTGCATGAGTAGGGGAGGGGCAGAGAGAGGGGGACACCGAATCCGAAGCAGGCTTCAGGCTCTGAGCTGTTAGCATAGAGCCTGACACGGGGCTCGAACTCACGGATCCGAACCACAGACTGACATCGTGACCTGACCGAAGTTGGATGCTTAACTGAGCCACCAGGCACTGCCAAATATGGCTACTTTTAAAAGGGCTTTTATACTTGTTGTTTACACATCATTAAACAAGAGAGGATGACTGAAATTGGGCTTTTTTCAGTTTTCAGAAGACATTTATCAAAACATTAAAAAATACGTAACACAAAACAGAAAATAGATAAATATTTTAATGTATTGTTACCTTCATTTCCATTAGAATACATTCATGGTACTTGAACCTTTACCATTTCTTTGCTATTCTTTTTATTTACATATAACTATTCACCTCTTAGAGGTAAGCAATGTTAAAAATGATTATTAATAATAATTTATACTTAATGATTTTCCCTGGGTATAGGATTATCTGAAACTGAATTCATAACTACATTTTGTTGATATTTTGTATTTTATTTTACTATCTGAACATGGAAACCTAGAACTCTGCGATGTAATCTTAGATTCTCTAAGTACATTTGGAGTAAAACTGAACCCCAAGTCATCATACTTAATAATAATCATCACATAATTTTCTACTTTCTTATGAAGTTTAAATTTTATTATGTATCTAAATGTCCAATGTAAGTCAATTTTGTCTACAGTCCTGATACCAATCAACTTTCTTCAATTACTAAGAAAATCATTGTTCATCAGGAAAGTTTTATCTAAGAAAATGATCATATTTAAGTTAAATGATTTTATAATTTATTCTACCTATATTTTTAGTAGTAGTTTCTACTTCCTATTAGAGGGGAGAGTCTTGCAGTGGGCTATCCAGTATAGACCATTAAAATTAAGTTACTTAACTGTAATTACAATTAATTGTATTAACAATAATAAGTTGTAATTGTGTAACTTTCATTGATTAATTAGTTGATTCACCTTTAATTGATTAAATTAGTTAAATTCATCTTTCAGGATTTCTTTTTCCTTATCTATAAAACAATGTCACTGAACTACATATATTATCCTTAAGATCTCTTCCAGTTCTAACATAATAAACAAATTATGTAAGTTTATACATTTATAGACTTAATTTCAAAACAGTCTTAAAATATGACAGTTCTATGTTACAAAATTGTGAATTACTATTTTCCTCTGATTCAGTTCTAAAATACACTTATTTTATAAAGGCTTCTTAGAATACGCTGAAAGAGGGCTAAAATCAAAATGTTGCATTTGGGTTTAATATTAGTAATGATTACATAATTTTTTGCTAATGCAGATGTATCCCTTATCACAAAATGACATAAAACCAGTGTTTTTATTGAATACGTAAATCTATCTGGGAAATATTTAGCATCTGATTTTTGAGGTGAATTCCTTTCAAATACATTTAATTTCAGTGAAAAAGCAGAGAATTCTGATTTGTCTTAAGAACAACTTTGAGTATAACAGATTAATTGATTTTAGGTTTCAGGGGGAAGTCGCATACACAGTGGTACGCTCTCACTTAAGGTCTCCTTCCACGAAGGCACAATATTCTGATCACTGCAGTTGTTAAGGTAGAAAATTCTTAACACTGATCAAAGCAGACTAGTGGCAACACTATAATAGTACCACTGCTAGAACAAAGGAGCCAGAACAAAAAATGGAATACAATGGGAAGTGAGCAAAAATCAGCTACTGACAACTGAAAGAATCTTCGTAGTAATGAAAAGACTGAAAATGAAGCTTAAAATTCATTAAAATTATTTTGTCTCATTTCTCAACAACAGAAATATAGTGACTGGTCTAATGCTTAAAAAAGGCACTGGAATTCAGGTTTGTTTCCATTTTTAGAACATATATCTTTACAAAATGATTTTTTTTTTTTATTAGAAATATGGTTTAGTGAGACAGAACTGTGAAGCACAATCAAAAAAATGTTTGGAGAAGGCTAACTCAGATTTAAAAAAATCTGAGGCAGTGTTGTATTTTACAAAAATACAAATTCTATGGTTAAGATGGAAAGTACATGTTGAAAATATTTCTGAATCCTAGTATGGTATTTTGTGTTGTGACATTCTAAAAAGCACCAGATATTTCTATTCTCACTTGAGGAATAAGTGGTATTAGAAGTCAATTAATATTCAAAGTCTAGTTATTTGATTTAGAGATTGGGGTTCATTCCAATCCAGTGTTTGATTAATTGATGTGCAATAGCTCGGCTTGGTGGCACAAAGAATGCCTGCTGCTTCCCTTTGGTCAGAACATCCACAACCTAAAATATACCATAATAAAATGTATTAGGATTTCAACACTGTCACACTTAAATACTATTCTTATGCTTATACAATCCAATTAAACATGATGATTTTTACAGTGAATAACAACAGGAGAAAGTGACAACACCCAAGTTTAACATGCAAAATTTAGTACAGTAATTTTAGTAGATTCAATGAGTTAGTGATTCAATTTAACAAAATATTCCAGAAAGACATATTCTCTTATGAAAGTAAGGTCACAAAAAAGAAAAGTATATGCTCCACATTTATTTTCAAAGTGAAGTCAACTTTTGGAATGGGTTCCCCTTTATAAAATTTTGAAAAAAAAATCTGATTTCTACTTTTTGAGGTTGAGCATAAAATAAAATTAATTGTGTTTAGGCAAAATCAGAAAAGATTTCAGGTCTTCACTACTAATAGTGTATCCATTTTTTTTCTACACAAATACTTTAGGTCATGCAAAACACAGATAAGTAGTTTATCTTGCCTTCTAGTACTGGAGGATAATGTTTTAAAAAGTTCTTGTGAGTGTATCTTTGTTATATAGTTTTTTTATTCTTGTCCTTAAGCATATTTTAAAATGAACAAGAACTTTTCAAAAATTTTAAGCATTTGTATTGATATTTTTTGAGAGCTACTTGTTTTAATGCTGTAAACTAAAATATAAAAATGTTAAGAATAATATTCCTATTTTTCATCTTTGAAATAATGTTTACCTATTTTAAGTCCATTGAAAGGTATCATTAATCTGAAGGATTGGCATTTGAAATTAGAAAAAGGCACAGAATCATCAACTAGAAGACTCCCACAGAATGAGTTAACATAGGACACATCAATTACATTGTAATCCATGCATGATGAGTGGGCCATAGCATTCATTCAAGTTGTTGAAAACATATATCCTTGCTGCATGCCCAAACTGATACAGTCAGAGAACAATCAATAGAAGAAGGAAATTAAATTGAACTTTACCTGTTCTCTAGTGAACCAGCGGGCATCCTCTATTTCATTCTTGTCAACTTTAATTTCTGTAGACACTGCCACAGCTAAGCAACCAATCATTAAGGAGGAGGGCATTGGCCATGGCTGACAAGAGACATACTGAACATGGCCAACTTTGACTCCACTTTCCTCTTCTACTTCTCTCCGAACAGCATCTTCTATTGTCTCCCCTAATCAAATAGGGCAAAAGAACAAGTAGCTGATGAACATCTCCTAGACATTTTGTGCTCTGAATGGTTCAAACATTTGGAAATCACTTTGGACAGAAACCCAATTCAAAGAATCAGAATGCAGAGCCTAAAACTAGACTGGAATTCAAGAAAACATGATTTCTTTTAGTATATGACCACATGAATAATCAAGATTCCATAACACCTTTCTAAAGGGTCCAAATTTTTAGTTACACTGTAACAATTATAACATCTACAACTATCCAGCACTGATATTGGCTAAACATTATGCAAGCATTTTATATATTATCTCATTTATTTATTATCACTAAATAGTTACAAATTATTATTACAAGATTTTTATAAAAGGCTAAAATTTCTTATGTAAGGAATTTTTTTTCTTATGTTGTCAAAAAATCATTGCAGATAACTTTTCTCAAAAGAGTTGAAGACCACATAAAACTAAAATTCTAAAAACCACTGAAAATGAAAGTATTTTTTCTTTCTAAATGTTTTTGTTCTTCTAGAGGACTGTTGACTCAGCTATGTTAAATAATGCCTATAAATATACTTTATATTTCTGATTTTTTTGGAATTGAGAAGTAGAATAAAGGTTTCTAAGTTAAGTTTATCTGAAAGTTTAAAAATATTTTGCTATTTAAATGTAGACTTTTATTTGAAATAGATTTATATAAGGGTATGGGTGGTGCAGTGGTTAAGTGTCAGACTTTGGCTCAGGCCATGATCTCATGGTTTGTGTGCTGGAGCCCCACATTGGGCTCTGTGCTGACAGCTCAGAGCCTGGAGCATGCCTGAGATTCTGTGTCTCCCTGTCTCTCTGCCCCTGCCCTGCGTGTGCTCTGTCTCACTCTGTCTCTCAAAAATAAAAATCAAAAACATTAAAAAAATTGAAATAGACGAATATATATTTCCTATATTAAAATTAACAACTTATGTTCACCAAAAAATATAGTGGAAAGGTAAGTCATAGACTAGCATTAAGATATTTGCAAGACCATAGCTATAGATTAGCATATTGTAAAACTCGTAAAATAGAAAAAAAAGGTAAACAACCAAAACAAAATTAGACAAAGAATATAAACATGCAAAATTCAGAGAAAATGAAAATTGGATGGCTAAAA